CTCGCAGATGACACGGGAGTAATTGCTGAGTTGCCAACACAGAGACTGGAAATAGTTACTTTAGCAAGTTGCTGGGATGTACCAATGATCAGAAACTCAGTCGTGTTGTCGTTCAGTTTCAATTTATCATTCAACATCCAATTACAAATATCATCAATACAGCTTTCCTTTCTAGCCAAAGCAACATCTTGGTTAACACTGGCATTGGGGCAGAAGGACAAATAAAGTTGGCTGTCATCTGCATAACAATGAATGCCAGGCAGATGTTTGTCAAAGATTTGAAAAATCTTGCTTGCATACAATACAAACAATAATGAACCGAGGCATGAGCCCTGAGGGACACCACAAGACAGTTCAAAGTTCATAGAGAGGGAACTATCGATAAGTATTTGCTGGGATCTGTTACTTAGATAAGATGCAAACCATGACAGTGCTGCACCATGAATCTCAAACCCAGATTTAAGTCTCCCCTGTAAAATACAATGGTCAATGGTGTCAAATGCTGCACTCAAGTCTAACAAAACAAGCAGTGTGACATGCTGTTTATTACTAATTTAATAGAATTTCATTTTTCACTTTCAAGAGTGCGGTTTCAGTTCTGTGAAACTTTCTGTATGAAGACTGTAACACTAGAAATAAATCATTCGCTACCAAGTGATGATGGATTTGTTTAGTAACTGCACTTTCAGCAAGTTTGGACACAAACTGTAAATTACTGAGAGGCCTATAATTTTTAAATATAGGTTCCAAACCATCTTTCTTGAGCAAAGGCAGAACCAAAGCATTTTTCCATGCAGAGGGAAAGTCACCGTTTTCTAAGGAGTAATTGATCATCTTAGTGATGATTGGAAGGAGAACATCTATTTGTAAACAGTCCAACAATAGCTTCGTGGGAATTGGATCTAAGCCACAAGACTTCTTACTGGATGCTCAAACCAGGTCATGCACTTCTTCTTGAGACAGAGAACTAAACTTGAAGAGTAGAGAATCAATTTCGATGTCATTAGAATCGCAGTCTGTGGAAGCTTGTTGTTTATCATGATTATCAAGGTCTAAATGAATATGGTCGATTTTCTTAATGAAAAACATACCCATCTCATTAGCTAATTTCTGTTTGTCTTCA